CCTCGGCTAGTCCGTCGACAAGTACTTCAGTCAGTATGTCACCCAGTACCTCAACTAGTGTCTCAACCAGTGCCTCGCCAAGTACATCAGTCAGTACCTCGGCTAGTCCGTCGACAAGTACATCAGTCAGCATGTCACCCAGTACTTCAACCAGTGTCTCAGCTAGTACATCTGTCAGCACATCAGCAAGCGTGTCACCCAGTACCTCCACTAACATATTAACCAATGTGGTTTGTCATTGTTACGTACCTAGCAGTACTGTGCATGCACCACCACCACCATCTAGTACTGTACCACCCACACCAGGTAGGTAATTGACTTGTTTTCATGGTTCCCGAGATATGAACAATTTTCGGAAGATTCCTTTATGTTTCTCACTTTAAGTATATTTTATTCGTATTTGATTTGGTTTTTAAATTTTATCCTTGAGTATTTTATCCTTAGTCTCCTTTGCAGCCGTTTTTAGTGTCGTCACGCAACGCGCCTCCCCACAAGAGAGGAGGAGCGTTGCGTGACGACACTAACAACGGCTGCGAGGGAGAGTATTGAGTATTAGGATGATGCAATTTTTTAAATCCCTTATGAATCAGTTGAATACCACTTATGAGAAGTTACATCACTCATAAGTGATGAAAAAGAACTTAAATTGCTCGGCGACTAGTTTTTCTTTAAAATAAAACAATAGCGTTTATGTTCGCGGGCAGCAACATGTTTTGAGCCCGACTCAGACTCCTTTTAGCCCGAGCCGCTAAGCGAGGGTTAAAATGAGCTCTGATAAGGGCCCAAAACATATTTTAACCAAGAACATAAACATTGAGAAAGTAAAGACTTCAAAAAATGACAAAAGGACAGTCTGAATCTTATCAGCGTCGAGCATTCACGTGTTAACAAACCGAAATTAACTGGAAATACTTGACCCAATGACGCAAAAGGCTTCAAAAACAAGCGACTGCTTTGTGAAGAACCCCGTCCAACTAAAGTTATACATGTTTCCGAAGCTAAGTTCTAATAACATGTGGGAATTTATTTGATATTAAACACTCTGATCGATTTGAACAGGCTTTCTAATCGACTATTGCATATTAATTGATCAGCTTACCTCTACTATCTTGCATGCTCCGAGGCGAATTAAACAAGAAAATTGGGATATGACATCCTGGTTGCCTGAAGTAGATATTTTCTGCATTATTGATACTGGGGCGGAGTGAATACCTATATTGGTTACGTTATTTTTATTGGGTGTTATTTCTGCAGGTTCCGTAGTTGAATTGGTTCTGGTTATGGTTACGTCTTGCTCTAGTGGAAGCGGTTATAGTTCCTCGCAAGATGCTTTAAACCTGTTTGACAGCCTCAAAGTCGAAGTAAGTAGTTTCATAAAGAGTACCAGTATATAACTGAACAATATGTAGAGAAACGGTGAACTGTGGATGAACAAGATATAGAGGATGTTAATGGCCCGTGCAGAGGGAGATAAAACATTTCTCTTCGAGTACTGAGTAATATTTCAAGAGTGGGCGCAGCGAAGGAGTAAATTTTTTGTTATTTATTATATAAACACCAATGAAACACCAAACCATTGCACTTTAAATTTTTTTGTTGCGTGAGGGGAGATTTATTGTACAATATACAGCTGTGTAATACATAGCCTTTAGGAACAGTGATATTTTTGAGTGTGAAGATATCATCTTCTTGCGAGAAACCCACCTGGTATTTTGCGTCATCGATTTTTGCGACTACTGCGCATGCGCCAGTAGTCACTATTGCCATCGAGTTAGTTTTCCGAAAGTAAGTAAGTAACAGCTGATACAGCTATTTCGAGAAAGGTTGTCGGAAAAAGTGCACGCGACAATGCCGAAAGGTATTGTGGGTGGTTTTAAATTCACTGTTCCCCAAAGAAGTTTGAAAGAATGACACGAGAGGCCACGGACGTATGTTTGCGGGAGCTAAAAGAAAGCAACAAAGGTAGGTTCGACAGCTACAGTGTCAGGAACAGTGTATTGATCATATCCTATATTACCTTTCGGGATTGTGGCGCGCACATTTTCTCCGACAACCTTTCTCGAAATAGCTGTATACGTAGGAGTCAATCAGCATACAAAGATAACCGGAATCTTTCGTCGATGGTCCTCGATGACAAACGAAGTGCTCGGCCGCCTCGTGGTCTGCTTTGCTAGCTAGTGCAGCCGAATGAAAAGGCAATGAAATACACCATTTCTCAAGAAGCGTATCTTCACTTCTCACCTTCAAAATATTAAAGTCCAGAAATCACGATATTTTCATAACAGATTTCTCCTCTCCATATCAACTCCTGTGAAAAGATCAGCATCTTTACTTTGTGGGATGAATTTCAATCCTCAGCAGTAGTCACTTGCACTTCTCGAGCGCCTATTTTCGTATAATGAAAAAGGATACCTGATCTTTGCTGTTAAATGGTCAATCTAAATGGTTGAAGTTCAGGTTTTACCAGGAATAAAACCCTGACTTTTGCGCTGACCGGAAGCAAAGTGGAAAGGAAAACTGGAGAACATGCTAAAAAGAATCAATCAACTAAAGATAAAACAGAAGAAATTGTATGTGATCTTTGCAGTTAAGAAATCAATCTAACTCTTTGCTTAAAATGGCCTTGCCTACCGTCTTTGAGCCACACGTTGTTGATTTGTTAAAATAACGAAGTCCGTTTTGGCTGTGTTATCGGAGTTCTGCCTACTTCAGGCTCAAAAGAATTGAATCTTGGGCAAGTTTACCTATCAATAATATCTATAATTAAGTAATAGAAAACGTTTTCCGTGTTTGCATAGCCTAATTATTATCACTTATTTTCGTACCATTTTAATTTCGCGAATACGGAATAGAAATATTTCGCGGCACTTAAATTTTGCAATTTTGTCGAATCACGGTTTTTCAAGGTAATTAGATTTCGCGAATCAAGTATAATAGTGCTCGTGTTTTCAACTTCAATTTCTACATTTTATTTAACCATCATGGAATAGAAATGCAATGAGCAACTAGCTGAAATGATCAACAATGTTATCAACATAACATCTTTAATTTTAAAAGTGCTATTTAACTCGATGGCGCTGCCAATTAGCTTATAGATTTAAGCAATAGAAAACGTTTTCCGTGTTTGCATAGCCTGATAACCCCTCGAGTGTTTATATCAGGCTATGCAAATACAGGAAAAAAGTTTTATATTGTTTTTATAAAATAACTTTCCCGAGAAAAAAGCAAAACTCGTTGTTTAGGGCACTAATTAAAAGACTAGTTCTTACCGGTCGCGAGGTCTTGTACACGAAGCTTGTACGTGTAATCACTGGCAGTTCTTGTTTTGCAATAAAGACGCTTTCCAAAAATACGGGTTTTTCTCAGATAAAATGTCAGCTTAAGCGAAACAAATTGACACAGCCTATTTCCGAAGATTTTCCAAGTTTCAGCCGACGAGGGAATGGGTAAATAAAGTAAATGTGTCTAGTTTTCAGCGGGTGTCTGTAAAACGCGGACCAGATAGCTGCAGATGGCAGATGCGGATGGGAAAATGCGGATACAATAATGAGGATGGAAAAAAATGCGGATAATAAAAAAGGTAATATGAAAAAAACGAAAAAAGGGGATGGCAAAAAAAAATAAACAAACAAACAAAGGAAAGAAATCTTTCTTTCAAGTCGCTGTCACATGGTTGGACCCTTCAGTTACATACAGAACGTGATGCCAATAGTTGGCACAGTTATTTTGTACCCTGTAATTACTTTCATTAATGTCACAGAAATAACGACGCTCCCTTTCTCCCCCTTAAATGCACACATTTGGTGCAGTTCTCCTTTGAGTGTTTAGCCTAAGGCTTGCAGTCAACACCGCGGCAAAACGTCTACGCATGCGCCAGGTTGAGCATTTCCGGTCTCTTTTTCAGTCACACTTTCCAGTCAAATCAAAGTCTCCCGCGCGCTCTCGGCTTCATTCTGTGTGCAGCTTGTGGTTCAGCTGTTCTGCTTCATGCTTGTAGTTATTGGAATTGCTTTTATGGATAACCAGGCACAGATCACTGAAACAATTGTCGATTAGATTCAGAAAAGTAAGATGATAATAACTCAGTGTGTAATTTTGGCTAGAACGTCAAGTAAACTGATTTTCATTCACGAAAACAAAGTTTTTTACTGTTATTTTTCACTTAACCTGGCTGAAACTAAGACATAAAAAGTTATCATTGCAAGTTTCATTTGTATTGTAGTTTTAATTTTCAGTTCTTCAATTTCTCAGTCTTCATGTCTTAAAGCCGATTCGAGCTTTATTTGGAAAACGACAACACACAATCGCTTTGTAGTTTTATTTGCCAGTGAGTTTTACCGTGTTTTGAAACGAAACTCTTCTGAGTTGATTGCCATGAGACATAAGCTTAATTGTACTGTTGAGGTTGGCAGCAAGTTGACAACTCTATTAATTTTTTTCATTCTCAGAATCAGAGAGCGAAAGCTGGTTCGATTGCTTTTAGAAGTCGAACTTTTCATCCTATGTATTTAGCAGCTGGAAGTTTAGGGTTCGCATGAGATGCAGCCGAGCCGCACAGTTTGAAATTATTGAAGTCTTCAACCAAAGAACAACCATGTAAAAGAACTGAATAGGCATTTTCTTGAATGAAAGTCATTTATAGGCATGTTTAGTTTCCTGGCACTGAAAACTCCGGGTGCTCGTGACTGCAGTCATCAGTCGAAGTTGTTATTAAATCCCTCCCATCTTTTGATTTGAGTTCTTGGTTTCTCTGAAAATAAAAAAATTATTAAACGGACTAAAATTTTATTTCCTGGTTTTAGTGTTAATGATAATGATGACGTCTTTATTTTGGTTCCTTTCATACGGTATTGTTATTCTTTTCTTAGTTGTCGCCTTCTCCCAAATTAGCTTATGCCAAACCAGTAGCATGTAAGAAAGCCAGTAAAAACAAATTCGTCTTGTCGAGCGCTCGCGACCTGCAAACTTCAAACATCATTTTCACCGTTGGTGCAAACAGATAACCATGTGGTTCAAAAGTTTGACGCTAGAAAAATATATAAACTTTCGAATGAAGTGATTTTTTTCGCCCCCTTTTTTGTCTGTTTCTCCCTTTTTGCTTTTAAACTTAGTGCGACGGCAATGTTATGCTTACGCAATTGGTTTATATACTAGACCGCAAATAAAAAGCTGACCGGATGTTAAATTTTGTGCTCATGCGCAGTGCGTTTAGCCGCGGTGTTCTTGCAGGCAAGGTAAAAAGCTCAAAAAATTGGCTAGCAAAGGGGATGTCCGTAAAAGAAGGACCGGATACCCGCGGATCGCTGATGCGGATGCAAAAAATTGTGAACAATAACAAAAACAAAAAAACCACAAATTTCGATAAATAAATTGTGTCATTAAAACATTTCTTGACAAAACACGTGTATAACGTTGTTCGGACAACAACAACAAAAAAGGTCCTCCTTTTACAGACATCCCCTTTAAGGAGGAGGAACGGAGCGTCCATATTTCTGTGACATTATGAAAGGAATTACAGGGTACAAAAGAACTGTGCCAACTATTGGCATTACGTTCTCTATGTAAGTGAAGGGTCTAACCATGTGACAGCGACTTGAAAGAAAGATTTCTTTCCTTTTTTTGTTGGTTTGCTTGTTTTTTTTTGTTTTTGTTTTTGTTTTTGTCATCCGCATTCCTCGTTTTTTTTTTTCTCTTACATTTTTTGTTATCTGCATTTTATTTCTATCCCCATCCGCCATCCGTAGGTATCCGGTCCCCGTTTTAAATTCACCCGTTTTCAACTGGAAAACTTTTCAAATTCGTGCTTGCATGATTGGCGCGCGAAAAGTAGAACATCTTGACGCCACAACCATGTTTACATGCTCTCATGCAAACAAGCCTCTCGGCCAATCAGAGCGCGTGTACTATCTTAGTTATTTTATAAAAAGATTTCCTCAATATTTTCAAATGGATCTTCAGGCGCGCGATAAGGTTGTCTTCCCTTAAACAAGTTCTGATTTTCCCTCTTTGCTCCATCCTTTTGCAATGTGCCGCTTTCCCATATTGTCAAGTGGTTGTAAAGGTTTGCCAGCCAGGTAAGATAGCATTCAATACAGATAGCCTTAAATCGACTTAAATCTCATCAGTGCTGTTTCCCGATTCCATTTTTTTCTGAACTTCGGCCGAATACCAAGTTGTTAACATATCTGCACTTTATGAAGGATATGTTGTTCTGTGTTGCAGGACCTAATTCAGCAAGATGAGTCAGATAATGACGAATAAGGACATGTGTTGAATTGAAATTTGAGCCCTCGTATACTCCTAGTAGACGAAAAACTTAAATAAAGCCGGGAGGTTTTTATAGAGGTTACTGAAATTCACGTCTTAAATCTTCGCGGCACCGTTTTTTAGCGGGACTTTAATTTTGCGAAATTTTTTAAATCGCGAAAATAAGTGATCATAAGGTAAACACGAGAAGGGTTAGGACAATTCGAGACAGTTATGCAAACCTGAAACGAAGTCGAGGCTTTACATAACTGTCGAGAATTCCACCAACCCCTCTCGTATTTAAATCAAGCTATGCAAACACAGCAAAGAAGTTTTCTATTGATTTTATAAATTAACTTTTCCGAGAAAAAAACGTAAGACACTTTGTTAAGGCACTGCCTAAAAGAGAAATCCTTGTACGCGTAATCAGTTCTTTTTTTGGAAAAAAGATGATTTCCAAAATACGGATTTTTCTCAATTAAAATGTCAGTTTAAGCGAAAAAATAAAAATTGAAACAGCATGTTTGGAAAGTTTTTCAATGTCTCAGACGACGAAGGAATGGGTAAATAAAGTAAACTTGTTGAGTTTTCAACTCAAGAACTTTTTTCAAATTAGTGCCTTCGTGAATAGCGCGCGGAAAGCAAAATATCTTGACTTACATACTCTTGGGCAAACACGCCTCTCGGCCAATCAGAGCGCGCGTACTATCTTAGTTACTTTATGACCGCAGTAACTTATAATTCCCAATTATTGTCTAAAGCCTTAAAACAGATTTTCTCTTCCCTTATTCTTTTCTTGTCGTCCAACTTCTATTTTTCTTTATTTTCCTTTTTCTCCTATTTTAGTCGAGTCAAATTGTGGTTTAGCATCAAACTAATTGCAACAGAATTTTTTCAACGCCATTTAATTGTTGGATGGCTTTGTAACAACATACTAAAAATCCGCCAAAATCGGTTCGGTGAAACATGAGAAAAATTGGCAAAAAAGATTTTCAACTTTCAACACAGGACACCCAATTTCAGGAAGATCACAAATTCAGATAAACCATTTGACAATTGTTTTTTTTCCTCCAAAATTTTCGATACAACGTCGCTAATGTATTTTGGGTAGTTTTGGTTTTGAAAACACCGATTAAGTGAGTGAGAAACACCTGGGTCAGTGTTTCGTCTTGACGGCTTAGCACAGGTTACCCAGCCACTAGTTTATCTTCACATTCTGTTGACCAAGCTGTAATATTTTTTATCTATGACGGTATTTAAGAGACAAATTATTAGTCAGTCTGTATTGACATGATTAAAAATATTAGCATTTTTTTTTCGCAATATCAGAAAAGCAGAAAGTATTTTTAGTTTTACAAGCTTGTAATTTTTTTTTATATCCTGCAGCATGGAATCAAATTTAGTGGCTGACTGATGGTGAACAGTTTGATTTGATATTTTTTTCATCTTCACTCAGCTACTAAATATGCATCCATGCTGCAGGATACGTGCAACGGACGATAGCTTTGTATCAGTAAAAACTGTTTAACCTATTCCCATTTTCTGTAGTCGAGTTTTGTGAGGTAGTTATGTTCAAACCTTGAACACAATATGTGTGATCGAAATCAGGGATTCTTTTTTTTTTCTCACGACATGGGCAACCTCCTTTAGGATTATGACTCCGTACTTTACAATGTGAGTGAATATATATTCTAGATCATAACGCTCTGCGCTTTTCATTAGACCTGGCCGAATCTGTTCTAAAGGAAATCCAGAAAACCAACGCAGAGTGATTGTTCTTTTTTTTTTTTTCTTCTTCTTGTAGCGAGGCTCAGATTTAGTTTAGTGCATCTGTGTGTTTAATTTGTATTTTCTGCGGCAGCTCTTCATTTCTTGGTAAGATGAATAAGATTAATTGCCCTGCATGTGGTCTAAAGACATTTATATTCCCTCCTTGCATTTCTTTTGAGAGAACAACCCTGAACCTTGACCAGTTTTTTTTTTTCGTCCATTGGCAAATGAAGACCTTTTTTTCCATAACAATCATGGGATCCTAAACATATGAAAAGAACTGCAGTGGTCAATGAAGGCGCGAAAGTAGTAGACATATGCACGACATTAATGAGTTTGTCTGACAGCTTTTTTACATAAATACACTTATAAATACACTTACGCTAGGTGAAGACCTCGGAATAGTGACATAACTCAAACAATATAGGGCGATTTCTAAACTATTGAGAAAGGGGCACAAGTGATACTGGCATCATTAAAGAAAATGGTTATAAAAACAGAGAGAAGAAGACAGTTTTTAATCATTCAGGTCATAATTACAATAATTTTTTGTTCGACAGATTATAAGATTGTATACAAGGGGTTCAACGGCGTATGTTATAAATGTAGAATACAACTCTGCCTCCTGTATGGATAGCACCAACGTCCAGATGACAATCATAATCACCTTTAAGGCCGGTCTTACTTTGGTGATAGAGACAGAACTGAATGAGGCCATTACAAGAAATTTTGGAAACTTAAACACAACGCGCGACTACACTCTCTCCTTCAAAGGTGTGTTAAGTATCATATAGTAATAAATAAAATTCACAGCAAATCAAATATGGGTAACACTACTAATATGATCAGCGAAGTCAGTATTATGGTGGAGCAAGGGCTAGCAGAGTTGGCTAGCGCGCAGCCGCTTCCGATTCCATTCTCAATTCCCAGGTGTGACCTCAAATCCTCGTTTTGACTTCTTTCCTTTTCCTGTATCTCTAAGTACTAGAGCTTTAAATCACCGTAAAACGGAGCGCCGATAAGTGTGGCGGGGGGGAGGAATGAGCGCACCGGTTGGTCAGTTTAAGTGCTGTTACAAGCTACCAACGTGAAAGAAGGACCTTCACCTTCACCTTACTGAAACATTCATACAGTTGACTCTCGCATTGGGGACATCTCATTATTACAGACACCTCAGTTAGTTAAACGAAAAGCTGCTAAGTCTTCGGCAAAACTTACAGACATTTGACTGAAACGAACTCCCGTGATCACGGATTCTCGCTTTTACAAATACGGACGATTTTCTAGGTCCCAGGCAACACAATAGGGACCTTAAGATCCGCGGCCGGGGAAGGCGGCAAAAACGTCGTTTAAAAGTGAAAAGGCGTTCTTCCAACTCGCTCACTTTGCCAAATGTAGGCGAACTTTGGTGAAGTTGAATTATTAATATTCAAGTTCAGAAACAGAAAGAAAATTTCGTCGTCGCTTATTTACGTCCTCCATAAAAGGCGAAATCAGGCCAGTAGTCTTGACGGCAAAGAAAGAAACGTACAAAACTGCATAACACATATGCAAAGCTGTCGTTTTGCTAATCAAACCTATTGCTTCAATTTTTTTAGGTTCTCGTTACCGTCGCAGTCGTCGGATCTTAAGGTCCCTACTATTCTGAATCTCGTTGATTCTCATGTAACGCATGAAATTGAATTATCACTCTTAAAAATAATTTTTCTAAGGAAAGAAGACCCACCCCTCGCAATTAAACCTCTAATCCCCAATATCTTCCTACAAATTCTCCGAACTGATCAGTTCATAAATGTCCTTAGAGCATTAGGAGAGAGAAACTGATAAAAGATCAAAGCATTTTTCTGCAGGTGATCATTCTATTACTGAACTCTTATAACCTTTTCTCTTGTACGTGAGATGATATTAACTAAGAGCACAGCTAAATCAGAACTGAATATTGTAGGTGGTGTGAAGCAAGAGATAGCGCAGTGCTAGTGGTGAGAGCACTCTTCTCCCACCAATGTGGCCCGGGTTCATATCCCGGCGTCGACGCTATTTGTGGGTTGAGTTGTTGTTGGTTCTTTCCTTTGCCACGAGAGGTTTTTCTCTGGGTATTCCGGTTTTCCCTTCTTCTCAAAAACTAACATTTCCAAACTCCAATTCGACCAGGAATCAGGTAGACGATGAACCACTTTGTGGATGTGCAACCTCCAAATCGCCATTTATTTTAGTTTATTTTATTTATTGAAATCACAAGAAGCCTGTCGTACCTTTTACATAGTACAATTGTGGATTACAACTGGTTAGAGTGCTGAAACTTAATGTTAGAGTTATGGGATACCTTTTCCGAGCCTTTAAGACTATTAAACCAAAAATGAAGGAAAGTATGTCTTACTGTTCACTGAATCACAGTCTTTATCGCCAATACCAGTTAATTTGTTTTTCAGAATCATTATTAACTCTTGGCCACGCCCAAAAAACGAGATTATGGTGCCTTTTAAGGGAGCACTTCCGTCATTGTTTTTTACTGTAGCGGTGTAGCCCCAAGCCTAATACAGCAGACACTTACAATCATGTTTGTGTGCTTGTTTGTTTCTTTAAGGTACAACTGTGGAATACCAGCCCAAAAGTGGCGAATGCCAAACAGTATGCTGCGATGGGCCTGGAGGCCCTATTGCTCTCATACCGACCTGCAGTCCGTCTAACAAATGCGAGGGATTTTTGCTAAAAGAAAAAAAAGAGACTGGACACTGCCCTAATGAACAGAAAGGCACTTGTCAATGTGACAAAGGTGACCGTCTTATACAACACATGTATATGACACCATTTGTTGCTGTTCCTTAACTATAGCTGAAGAATAACTTTGGCCATCCCAAACGTAGGAAATAGATACATTGATGACACTCACTCCTTTCTTTGCTAACAGGTTCCTTTGCTAGCAGGTTAACCCGATCTCAAAATTCAGTCCACAAAGAGATACATTTTTTGCTCAGTTGTGTTCACAGTTTCAATTTTACTATTTAATTGACAGCCTATTCCCTCCATTCTCCAAGTTTCGCCGTCCTCGCTGTGATGACGTTGGTATCGATGTTTAGGTAAGTGAGAAATGCCATTAGCTAGTTACAATCAGGTTCTCTACTTCAAACAATGTTGAAAAAAGTACCAAAGAACAAAAATAAAAAATATTACTCTCGATAACTTTGAAAACTGGTAGATATGTCCTTAGATATTCTAGTTATAAGCCAAGACAGAGAATGACAGCAATACTACCCTTTTCATTAAAAAATAACCATATTCGTTTTCTGTACCCAACGTATTCATTGCTTTCATAAAACTAAAGCTAATCTAACTCGTGTCTCTTTCATCAACAGGATCACAGTCTGTTAAACTAACGGAAGAAGAAAACAAAGGTCCAGGATTCACCGTCTTGTCTGCAACCGTTGAGCTATCACAAAGGAAGGCAAATCATGCTGTTCGAAACTAGTTTCGTAAAATCGCCTAGTAGGTAAAATAGTGCGTTCAAAGTGGATCTCCATTGGATTTTTCTTTTCTCTGTTCACATAATGAACCAATCACAATGCTCATTACCACGCTTTGTGACTGGTTTGCTTTTTCCGCTTCTGCTTCCGACTTCTACATATCAGTTTTTCACATAATTATAAGCGAAGGAGTCGTGGAGTCGTCAGCGGAATCAGAACGCTGTTTTCGAAGAAAAAGCTGTATTTCCAAGCCAATGACTCATACAGTGCGGCCTCACTATGAAAAACTACTTAGGTTTTCTGAACTGACAGTTTCTAAATTGTTGATAACGAAAAAGTTTCGTTTAGTTAAAGTTCTTTGGAAGGTTTTTCATTTTTTTTTTTTCTCTACTGTCCAACTCTTATCCGCTGAGTGTAAGGTTGGTTTACACTTGCGATTTCTGATTATTTATCAGTATAAACTATTTCAATAGGATTTCAATAGAATTCTGCTTCATCAGAATACACCATCTTTTCTTGGATGGTAAGACCAAAGTAACTTTTATGGAACAATAATCGTCGCTAGTTTACACTTGAATAAATGATAACAATACGATTTATCCAATAAGACATTTAGCTTAAAATTGTATTACAAGGAACGACTGAAATTGCATGTTTAAACTGTCCCCTTTTCGAGTGAACCGTCGAAACTTGAATCGTTACCTCCATGAGCCGTTGATACAGAGAAGGACACTTCTGACTAAATCAATCGATGTAAGTAAGTAGCTCTCTGTACACTCCCTTACGTGTATCCGTTTAGTGAAGTATCAAACCCAAAATGAAGCATTCTCTCGCCCCATGTAAGGAAATTCAAGACAGTCTTGGATACTGAATTTCAGGAATTGGATTCCCGATTCTCTGTCAGCGGAACTTGGATTCCAGATTCCAGTCGTTAGTAGGATTCCGGATTCCTTAGCTGTATTCCAAATTTCAAAGTCCAGGATTCCGGATCCCACAAGCAAAAATTTCCGGATTCCGGAATCCGAATTCTCTTACACGGGGCGAATTCTCTTAGTACTTGTTTGATTCCTACACAGCCGTTTAATTCCTTTCTTCCTTTCGTGATTTTAATATGCCTTCTAACATCCGACGGAAATAAAAAAGTAAGCTAGAAGATATAAAGTACAGGCCCCGGTTCCTGGAAAGCCGATTATCGCTAATCCAGGATTAAATATCGCTAATCGCGGAATAAATTTTATCCCACGATTAGATTCTGTTCCTGAAAGCACGATTAAGAATAATCTAGGAATAAACTACGTGTTAAATTTAACCCATCTAGCGAGGACGATTAACTCACTAATCGAGAGAAAAAGTTTGTCAAAACAAACAAAATGGCGGACTTACTGTTTCACAAAAACGCGAAAGAAAGTTCCAACATCGAGAAATTGGCCTCGACCAACTAACAGACGAAGAACTTCGCAGGAGATATAGCTTTGACCAAGTATATCTAGTAGGGATCCGAAAAGACGATCTCCAAAGGCAGACGACAAGAAACCGTGCGATGTTCCCTATTTTTCGCCCCAATTTTTGCGCCATATATCTTTTAGAAGCAGCAAGCAGGCGGTCGAAAAACTCGTTAAACCGGATTTTTTAGTACTAATCTGGGATTAGTTATTCTCGGGATAATTTCGCTTTCAGGAACAACTTTTTAACCCACGATTAGTTATCCGGGGAATAAAAAATTTAATGGTGGATTAACAGTTAATCGGAGGATAGATTAATCGGCTTTTCAGGAACCGGGGCCAGGAATAGATATTTGTTAAAAACTAAAATAGGACCGTTGACAATGTTCTCCTCTGTTGTCGTCTTTATCAGTTGATATCGGTCTGCCGCTTTTCCGATTCTTGTTTTCCAATGCCAACGCACATTACAATGCTATAGTGTACTTTCAATTAAAACCAAAACTTGACAAGTCAAGCACGTACTACGCTGACTACGCCAAGCCAAGGTTTGCCCAATATAAAATGCATGAGTCGTCATCTCCTCCAGCGTTTTTTTTTAGATAATTATCTACATAGAAAACAAGGAACAAACCCATGGCTCCTACTGCATCTTTAGGGTGTCTGTGCGCATGCGGAACGTGTAGCGTGTGTCTTAGGGCCTGTTTACATGGAGTGGGGGACCTCGGTCTAGTGGGGTTGGTTTCTTTTGTTTTCACGCTCTGGGGGACACAAAACAAAAGAAACTTACCCCACTAGACCGGGCTCCCCCACTCCATGTAAACAGGGTCTTACTAAGTATTGAATGATGTCAAATATTTTCAGTTATGATTCTTAGGTGTGTGTATTCATAGTGATTGTATTTATATAATAAACCAGAATATTCGTAATGGGAAAGCGAATTCAGATATAAAAGTAGAATTCCTCTTTGAAAGAGGTAGACGCTATAGTAGACTTTTTGGACTAGGGACAGTAACTTAAATAGTTATATATAGCGTGTACAAATAAATTTTCATAGATTTCAATGTGTGCTGCTTGAGTTTTCATTATTTAAATGCAAACTAATAACGAGGGTTGGCTTAGATGCCAAGAAGGTAAAAATTTCCTGGATTCCACTCTTGTAATCCTGCAATTATGAAAATAATAGACCAATAATTGGTACTTTGTTCCGAGGGTTGGGGGAATAAAACAAAAGAAATCACATTGAGGGTCGGGGCTTAATAATTTATTCTCCCAACATATGGAGCCAAGTATCGAAATTGGTCTATTTTGGCCCCTTGTTTTTCTTGTTGTCTATTCATGATTTAAACAACGTATCGATGCTTGCCGAACTGATTTTACTGCTTAAGATTTTTCTTAAAGTTTTCTTAGAATAAGTTTGTAATGGGAAAAAACATCCCTGTGCCGTGTTTGGATGTAATAATGATCGCCTTTTTCTCGAGAAATATACAGTGAAAGACCGTATTTCTAATACTAAACTAGAAAAAGGCGATCATTATTACATCAAAACACGGCACAAGGATCTTTTTTCCCATTACAATCTTATTCCAAGAAAACTTTAAGAAAAAATGTCCCGAAAAGCGCTCGAAAATACAAACGAAATGTGCTCATGCCCCCTGGGCAGCCCATAATACTCCTGAAATCGAATTAATTCAATATGGCCGACGTATCAGTAAAAAAAGTCTATTGTGGGTTCATATGTTCCCGTGAAAGAAATGAGTGTAAATGATAAATGAAATAAATCATATATGAACTGCGGAAATGAAATGAAAATGAAGAAATGATCGTCGCAGTGAACGCAATTTACGCAATTGCGTAAAGAAGCCTGAAAAAAATTCAGCACTGATACTCTCAGTCATCGTGTGCCACATGGGTTTGTATGCATGAAAACGGCATGGCAACTCAGGAGGCTCCATATTTCCTGATAATGATAATAATAAGGACCATTATCCTGTCCTGTCTACTATCATAAATACACCGACGACTACCCTATCTTCATTAGCCCTCTAAGGTTAGTAAGTGCAGCCTATATAGCTGTACAGTCTATTTATAGTATGTTAAATTTATTTTGTAATAAACTGAAAATCGCTATTCTTCATGGTAATCGCTCCCAAGGAGGCTTGAAAAGCACCAAGGACAATCTAAAAATCAGGCGCGGATCCAAACCGGCCCCTCGTTTAGGAAATCGGTCAGTATTTATCCTAGATCCGCGTCTGAAAATAGTCGTCGTAGTTCTTTGGTATTGACCATGACACATGGGAGGAAGGGTTTAACCATATTGAAGGGCGCCAAGAGCTGTGAAGCCAAAAGAACAACTGCAGATGAGGAAAGCAGACTTCCAAGAAGGTTCGAGCCAGTAAAACTTCAGGTGTTCCCACCGCCTCCTGTCCGCACCGTCAAAAGAATCTATCGGGCAAAGATTCGGATCTGCCACCTACGCAAAAACATAATTTCCAGCCCTAGAATGATTAGGTGTCTTCGTCGCATCGACTTAACAAGGTGTCCAGCCGACGAGATCTGTAGACGCTTTCTCATTCTTTGAACCCTTACCCCATCGAGAACAGAAGTTTTTATTTTATGTTCCCTTGGGCCCTTTTCTCGAAAGGCCCGGTGATTTTTCGGGCCCAAAGGCAAATTTTAAAATCAAAACCTATTGAATAGTAGGCTAGTTCCAAAAAGGTCAATTTTGCGTCGTTAACTGATAGTTTCATTCCATCGTTTTCAAAGCTAATTAAACTTTGAAAGCCAACATGGCAAACATAAAACAGCTTTCCGGGCCCGAAAAGTTACCGGGACTTTCGAGAAACGGGCCCCAGGCCCTATTCGGTCACAAACTCCCTCAAGATTAACTGGATACCTTAGACCAATGCTAGTATACTTTTAAGTTACTTAACACTTGAAAGTTTAATTGTTTTACTTACCTTGAAACTCATACTTGATATTTATCATAGTCATCTCCAGAGAAAAGTGTCCATAAAATGGACGGGTGGAATTTGTCAACTTGTGCTATAAAACATCCAATTGAGTTATTTGTTGCTATCTTAAAGGACGGAAACGTCATCAATGGATACGCTTTCCTTTCATTGGGCTGGTATTGTATTCAATTTCATTATTTATATTTTGGTAATTATGAAAATATTTGTGAATCCTATCCGTATTCCGTTTATTACATATTTAGATATCTTTCTCCGCTGAACTTAAAAATTTAGGATCAAACCAAGAATTCCCCTATTTCCGTTTAGGTAACGCGTTTAAATCACACTTGAGGTTTAAAACGGTGGAACATTCAACCGTATTTGCCAAATGTTTACATACAAATTATATCTAGCCTCACCTTGAATGTATTCCATTGTGTCTTTTAAATATTAAATGAAGGATAGGATTGCAAAGGTGAAGCCCTGTTGGAACTCAGAAATGTTGTTCCAGTGAAAATTAAATGTAATATTCAAATGAATTTTTTACACTTTAAATGGTTAAGAAATTCGCAATTAACAAATTCTAATCCGCACTTGTTCCTCAACGCTATGTTTAATTAACAATGATCATCATATGTGTACTTCTCGAAAAGACGATCGTTTCGTCAACCATCTAACGTGTTATGCATATAACTATATGAGTGATTGATTAACTGTCAGACGACAAAGAACCACAACAAATCAAACATAACGATCCAATCTCTAATAGGTCTCTTAAAGCGCAAATGAATTTATTTAATTACTTCTGATCACAAAATCCATAGACTCTTACCGTGTCTCTGAATGGCAAAGCCTGTGAATTGAATTAATATTTAATAATCACAAGTAGTACAATGTTGTGGTGGTATTAATACCGCTTGATGAGACAGAGAAATTGTTGTCGCTTCCTAGCATTCGAGATGGTCACTTCAGAGTTCAGGTAGGTGAACTGAGATTTGTAATTGGCTTTTAAGCTAACGGAGATAAGAAAAACCCCTCGTAGCATATTTTCCCTCAAATCTAAGATCGACTCTGGAACTAACATTAAATTAACTTCAAGAATCAGAATTTTCAGAATCGTATTTATTGTACTTGTAAGGTGTTCCAAAATAGGGGCATTAGGGAAAAAGTCCTAGAGAATCTCTTTATGATGATAAATTTACTTTATCACCCTGTTGGACCGACTCATCTAAATTCATTAAACAACTTTTTAATCCTTTTAATTGTCCACCTTGTTACTTTGATTTATATCGGATTGTAGGAAGACTGTAAACGTATAACAACGAGTTAAACACAGTTTGTATGATAGAATCTCTATGTGCATTTGGGTGGCCGAGTAAGAGCAAAGGCTACACAGGTCGTTTTTGTACGTACGGACATTGTAATTGGCAAATTGGTTTGTTCTCACATATTTAGAAAAGACGAAAGATAAACCAAACTGATGCAATGGTTGGTTTTTGGTGCACACTGTTTGGCTTCATGTTTCACTTGGCAGAAATTCTCGCCGATCAGCCTCGCAACGCTGTCTGTCAAGACACCGGCAGAGAAGAATTCGGATGGGCTTTAATTGGACATGACTACAAAAGCTCGACGGCTGAAAGTTTCGGTCGATGCTTCTTTGACTGTAGCTTAGATGAAAAATGTCAAAGTACAACGTTTCTGTGGAATACTAAGGAATGCAAGCTGAAGAAAGAGACAAAGAAGTCAAGGCCAATGGATATGGAGCAAAATCCAGCTGCCACTTACATGGAAAATCCTTACCGAGGTATTTTTACTCTACACCGTTTAAGGGGGAACAAATAGACCGCATAAGCCTTAACGGTCTAGATAAAGTTTACTGTCGAGCGTACGTTAATTGCCAATTTTTGTCAATTCAACTTTTTATGTTTGTGTTATCAAAATGTTCCTTTTTACTGTTAGAGCCGTAATTTCACTCACGAGGAATGGTCGACACATTGGCAGAAATAAATAAGAAATAATGAGACAATTTAAAAAAGCTGTTATCCTCGCTCATATGCATTAGATCCAGCACATGAGAAGTTCTAGACCTATAAACCGAGCCTAACTCTGCAAGGGCGTAAATCTTAGGGTCGGTTATTGAAACAAAGTATTACGTGGAGCATGGCTGAAGGAATCAGTTTTCCCCACCAGCAAGGAAAACTGAACAAATCGATACTCAACAATAAAAGCCTAGTATTGTTACATTTAAACACCGGTCCAAATGCCATACGGTTTTTTTAAATTATTCTTCATTTTCCTGTACATAAAATATAGTAATTAATCCTTATAGAGATGCATTAATCAGTCCTGTGCTAATTTGAATGCGGTTTCTTGCAGCCAAAAAAGGCTCAAAAGCCTCGGTTCCAGGCTCGTCCTGCAAAGACATTTTAACAAGCGGTGAGGCTCAGGGAAATGGTGGATACTGGATTGACCCCACTGACTCAGGGGATCCCTTCAAGGTGTTCTGTGACATGAATAGTTATGGAGGTAAGCAATTATTATTTTTTTAACTTTTTTGGGGGGTTTGTTTCTCTTTATGTAGACAAAAGAAGACGGAAGAAAACTCAGTCTATAAAGATCGAAGTTTTGATAACACATTAGCCATGAACAATTTACATTGCCTTATGTCGATTCCAAATTAAGTTTTATATCACGTCGGTTAATCCCCCAGAATTCATAACAGCACATCAGTGAATTTCATTATTCGATGATCATAGAGCAATATTATCGCGTAACATAGCTTTGACAAATAGCCATCTATCGATCACCGGTTGAATGCTTTTAAGTAATGCACCAGTTAGTTTGTCTAATTTGACTAGTTTGATAGCCCTCAAATTTATGCATGTTATTGGTTCGTTTGTTTCCCGAGAGTTCCTGAGGTTTTCAAAAGTTGAATAGTTAAATGCTTGAATTTTATTGGTCCGTATGCAAAAAGTCCTCGAAAATGATACCAAATTAACTTCTTATAGAAAGCTTGTCTTTTGAGTCATTTCAATCGGTTATAATCAGTTATGAGTAAAGTTATGGTCAGGTTAGGGTTACAGCTACAGGCAAGGTTTTGCGCTAGGTTTAAGGTTAGGGTTAGGGTAAGTTAAAGTTTAGGGCTAGGGTTAGGTTGGGATTGGAACAATAATCGGTGACAAAATTTTTGAGACATTGTCAACAAATGAGGTAACGTCGAGAGCAAAACTATCCACACCCCTCCCTATCCTACTCATTCAAAGATGGAAAGTTTGGTTTTTTCTACAGACAGCTCGAACAGCGGCACAACACTACATGGAGGGGATGGGGGAGGGAAAGTTTTATTTTCCTTTTTTAACTTTAGGGCGAAGTGTCTCGACTAATTTTGTCACCGATTGTAGGTTAAAGGTTAGGATAAGATTTTGGGTAATGTTTAAGCTTAGGATTAGCAGTTCGGGAGTATGCCGGTTTTGGAAGAAGCGGTGACGTCATGATTCCATTGTTCTGCTAAAAATACGCAAAAATGGGGAAAAAATAATCGCAAGAAACATGGAGCTTTTTTCAAAGCCTTTTCCAGGTCCTCTCGTTCAATATCCGGGACTTCCGAAATAGCAGTGCCGACAAAGAAGCCTTCTCCTTGCTTTTTGAATGTCAAGGGAAGTTTCCTGCCACATTTCGGTAGTTAAAAGCGACAGTTTTCATACGGCCTTCGAAGACGCCGCGGCCATCTTGACGGGCATCGAATGTAAGTACATGTCTTTATATTTACTTTTCAGTATCTTGTCGAATTTTTACGAAATCAAGACTAATTTTCCTCAAAACTAAAACCTGTAAAGTGTGTTCAGGCAAAGTTCCATCGATGGCTGAAGCAAAATAGTAAAAATGGCCAACGGGCAGGAAGGGTTACTAAATTGATGGGTATGCCTTAGTCTGTCTATGTAGTTTTAGTTATAATCGATCAAATCTGTGTTTGGTTGTTTTCACCGGCAATGTGAGGGTACCGTACTTGTCAGATACAGCCAGGCACTGCCAGTCAGTGAACAAGTTATCCTCGTCACTTCCCTTATGGATGGTCGTTCTCCTGAAGAATTAAACAAGGGGGTTATGAGCTCTCTTCAAGTGGACTCCCTGCAATTGTCGACCTACAATTTGCTTCGTGGCCGAGTAAAAGATGCTTTAAGAGATGCACAGTCATTTTCTCAAACTTACACAATTTAAAGCATTGAGATCGTTAAAAACATTCATATGACTTGACTTGCCTGACTTGCATGGCTCCCTTGCTCGCAGGTTATGTCAGGACCAGAAATAAAATTTTTTTTCCCAAAAAACAAAATGTCACAATAAATAACTTTGATTGTATGTTTACTCTGATGTGTGAGCTTTGTTTTCTTGAAAGTGCTATTCAATAGAAACATGGGGAACTATGAAAAAGAACTTTGAAAAATTTATGTTGTGTCCATGCCAAGTGCAGTAATCAAAATTAATACTTTGGGCCAAACCTTGTATAAGAGAAAAGTGCTCGTAGAAGTTACAATGCCTCTGGTTTGAAGGCAACCACAGAGTTATAATTTAGTATTCAGATGTAACATCAAATCCCATATAAGAGGATATTTTACAACAACCCATAACCTTGTTGATCTCTGACCTCTGGTCAAATCCGGTGGACTGTATAAGACTGTAGTATCCCATCTTTTAAAATGGGATACTATAATCAATAAATCAATAGATCCAAAAACATGTAACAGGCATTCTTAGTTTTCCACTATATATATGAAATTTTAAAGAGTCTCTTGCATTTGTTAACCTTGAGCAAATAATCAGTGAACTTCAGACAGTGGAATAATTGAAAGCAATAGGTTTTTTTGAAGCGGGACAAAAAATATGATCGGGGATGATACTAAGATTTTCACTTCGCCGGTTTTCAAGAAGAAAACGCGGAAACAATATCCTCAGAAATCCCTTGTAAACCTATTGTATACCTGGACGGAATCGCTTCAGGACATGATAAACCAACGGAACCTCATATTCGAAAAAACAGATATTTTACCCACAAATGATTCGCTTGTACCAAAGCAATAACCTGAATTACAGCCATCTTCTCCGGCCAGTTGATCACTCCAGAGAGAGAAACAGAAACAACAAGAAAAATTACAAGAAAACTTACTCTTTGCAAACATAAGGAAACAAATTACAGAACAACTCACTTTCCTAGTTGTTTCCAAAGCATTATTCTTTCTTATAATATGAAAAATTAATGAAATAAATAGGCACAAACTCTTGTTAGCGTGCTTACCTACATGTATTTTTAAAGTACCGATTACACACGCAGTGAGTACGTAGTGCCCACTGAGAGCTCGATAAGCGAAGAACTATAGCGCAAGAATGGTTACTCCGTGTCCTCAAGGTACTTCCCAATTCATAGTAGCGCGAAGTCAAATAAAAAACTCGATAAAACAAGAATAAACGAGAATATTGGTCAATACTCTTTCCTCTCCCTTGTCCGCCATTTTGATTGTTTTGAAAATGACCATCGCTATGGTGATCATGTTATGTTTCTTCCAAAACTGGCATACTCCCGAACTGTTTAGGTCGACTCAACATGATCATTCATTCATTGACTCATTTGCACTTTGGCTATGTTCACATTTTACCGGATAGGTAAAATTTTGTGCAGGCACAAAAAGCTATCCAGCAAAGTATGACCTCAGGCCAATCTGGGCATCTTGCAGTAAGCAATGGGCCATTTGCACGATGGCGTCATTTTACTACCACGACCAGAATCCTTTTCGTTTTTCGTTTCATATTCAAATTTTGTAATCCCAGTGAGGTTTAAATAACAAAAGCCCTAATTTGCACAAGAAAGGAAAACCCTGAAGGATTCTGGTCTCAGTAGTAAAGTGATGTCATAGTGCCAATGGCCTATTGTTAGAAAGAGCCTTATGGATGCAAAAGAAAGCTGCACGCATTATATCGGACGCCGAAAGAACAACACGCCACGCACGTTAACTATGTTTAATGAACTTCACTGGATTTCATTTTTTATTGAGGCATTAATGACTCCCTAAGCTCCAGTAATATAAAGGGGGAGGCAGTAGAAAATATTTGTATAACAGGAAAAGGGGGGTGGACAACTGAGGGATAACAATGATTACTCCTCCCCCTACACCTGTAAGGCTTGTGAAACTAAGGAAGGAATTTTAAAAAAATTCCACTTTTTTTCTTTCTTTCTTTCTTTCTTTTATTTATATTATATTATATTAATTACTATAATTTGGCAAAGAGCCCATGCCCCCTATAGTAGCGGTGTCTCTAGGAGGACCCCATAGGGTAGCGGTGTCTTTAGAGGCCTCCCTACACAGGAGCCCTGCCCTACGTTAGAGTGTAACATAGGGTGGACCAGAAGAGGGATGCTTTTCTAGAAAAAGAATAGCTCAAATAGTGAATTGTTCCATCTTGGAGTAAGCCGGGCTATCCCACATACTGTGGGGTAAAGTGCAGCCCAGGGTGCACTTCTTTGCCAACAATAAGTAACTAACAAAGTAAAATGTACAAACACCTAGGATTTAATTGATGGGTATTTCGAACTAATTTTTTTTTTATAATGGTGGCAAGTTAATTAATAATGTAATGTAACAATCAAGGAGAAAAAATAAAGAACTAAAATAGAATAAAATGAAATCGCCTATGACAAAAATGAAATAAAAAGAGGCAGGACAAAGCACAGGCATAGCGATTAATAAAGACAAAGCTTCCAGTTGGGTGGGAGGACAGGGAAAAATACAATATGCAAGTGCAAGTCTTGGTACTTGTTTGAAGAGTAAAGCAAGTGGCTAGCAAGTGGTATCAGGGGTTTACATAGGGCAAGACAGGTGAGAATCATGTGATGCTGTGGAAATTACTGTATACGAATTTAATTACTTAGCAAAGAGAGACAGGCAATTTTGAATATGTTTTAAATAGTTAAGTAGCCTTTTATATTAAGTCCGTAAAATAGTGAAACAAGGTCAATTTTCATTATATTTTTACTTGTTTTAAATGTTAATAGTTTTTGAATAGGTAAAATTTTAAAATAAAAGTCTAGATAGTTTTTAAATACTATTTTTCAACGCTTGTTTTCAATTTTCTTTTACAGCTGTCATATGTAAATTATTATTTTTTTGATGACATTGTAAAATTATTTTAATATTTTAATGATTTTATGTTAGTAGAGGGCCACAAGTGTATCAGTTTAGACCATAACTGTCAAGTGTAACCTTCTTTAAATAAAGGCGTCACTTCAGTTCACTTGACTTATGCAACATGTAACTCTCCACTTCGCTTGGGTCCGTCACAGAAATCGGGCCGAAATCATTTTTCTAGTAGGCTGATTTAGCAACAGAACGGGAACGTCATTTGACGACGGGAAAGCGCGCGGAAAGGACGAAACTCGACTTCCAGTGCCCAATTTGCCACTCTGTCATTGGTCAAGCCAGTTGTTTGATTTGCGCTCGCCGTCGTCATCTGACGTTCCCGTTCTGTTGCTAAATCAGCCTAGTGTGTGAACAGAAGACCGATCTCATTATATTTCTTGAGCTGGTGCAAAAGCTGTCCGGTATAGTGTGAACGTAGCGTTAATCCGCCGTACGGAAAAAGATGGCAGCTGTACATTTTACCACAATTCCTTTCGAACCTAACACGGCCAATTACACATAAAGTCACATTTTGGGGGGGGCAAAATTTGCCCCTGTAATAGCAACATTGCTTATCCTAGGTTTGAAGTTTATAAAACTTTTCTGTGCTTTTTTATGAGCAATTTTATGGTTTTCATGCGCTAAGAACTGTAAGGGTCTGGATGGGGGGGGGATACAAATGTCAGTTGTCAGTTAAAATTTCGGTCATTTGTCAGTTGTCAGTTAAATTTCCGGCTTTTTGTCAGTTGTCAGCTAAATGGTTGTTAATGATTAACCATGAAACTTCTTTGAATATTTTTGACGCTAAATTTGGCGTAAAAGGCACATATAATGTAAATTAAACATTAAATTCGAAAACTGATGCCATAGCACCTTAATTTTTATCAGTTTTGCTATTGTACATGTTGTAAGCATTTCAATTGGCCCTCCTTTTCTCAAGTCTTGGGTTACTCTCTTCCACTCGAAAGTTTTTGCTGGCCAGTGTCTAGTATTGCCAACCATTAAGCCAATCAAAATTTATACCCTCAGAATATTGTATACGCATTATGCATGAGTCTTACGCCTGTGGACTAAAGACATCGATATCACGCATCAAGGACAATTTCTCACGTGTGACTCACAAATCCGAACAAATTGTTCTTAACACTTTTGTGTCCTTTTTTGTATTCTAACGAAATCATATCAAAGCACGCTAAAATTGTCGTCTTTTAAGTAGCTTCGGAAGTGCTCAAACGTCTTCGGGAACATCTGCGGACATTTAATTTTAAACAACTTTCGGAAGTCTTCGGAAATTCGTCGAAAATCTTCGGAAGTCGCCGGGACGTTTACGGAAATCTCCGTCATGACAAGGCGAAAATCTCACGCATTTGACTTAGAAACAGTTGGCAGGTATACTGTTGAGACGTAGATCGTAAGAATACCAAGAAAAACGGTCTCTGAATCATCTCAGTAAAAACTGCCAATTGCCTGTGTAACGCCCTCATTCTGAGCAGCCATCGTATGCTCGCGCGTTCTCAGAGGAGCGTAAATTTGATATCATAGATCATTTACAACAGATGGTACATGATACACATGAGTTTTACAGTAAACTCATTAACGAAATATGACACTTAATCGTCTTGCTGCTAAGATTACCTTAAAAAACGCACATTTGATCATATTGTCTGATGAAAAGAGTAGAACAATTCTATTTTAAGGCCTTAAAAACGGGTTTTGTAGAAAATAAGGGACAATCAGGTCCTTTGTGAGCTGACAGTAAAACCCAAGGCAAATGTCAGTTGTCAGTTAAATTTTCGGCCATTTGTCAGTTGTCAGTTAAAATTTTGGCCATTTGTCAGTTGTCAGTTAACCCCATCCAGACCCTCTACTGTGGGTAAATGTACATCTACCAGTCGCCATCTTTTTGGGTACGGTGGATTCTCAGATCGTCTCAATTTTTTGAATTACTTTAAACAAGTTTTTATATAAGTTTGCCACCGAAAACATTTAACGTATTGTGGCTTCTGATAGTTCAGTATAGCATTAATCATTTTTACTGGGTGATACTACTAATCTCGGCCAGATAATAAAAACTTTTTACCAATTCGTTCCTATGATTACCCACTGTTTCAGGTGGATGGCTTCTTATCAGTCGCTTTATTATGGAAACGTCCGATTCAATCAACGATATTTCAAGCTCGTCGGATTCTTATAGGACAATTCTTCCTGCATACACTTCCAACAGCCAATATCTGCTGAGAAACGGCTTCAATCAGTTGAAACAAGATATGGGCTTCACTCAGATCCGACTGTATTGCTTCAAAAAGACAAGAGGCCGAGTCTTTCATATCATGACCAAAGAAGATACCAAAGGGGCAAACGTGGTGAAGTTTTTTACTTCGTCTAATAACATACCCAAAGCTTGTGGATCCTTTTCACGCCTTCCAGATGACAACTCGTCTCTGGCAGTCAAATGCGACAAGTGGGGTTACCCGGATACAGATCGATGGGGACATGGAAATATGTTAACAGATAGTCGCCTTTTTTTAAGGCCCATGACATGGGCATCTGCTCCCCGGTTTTATCGCTTAAAAGGTCCAAAATATCAGTGTGACGACGATGATGACCTTAACCCTTCAATTGGTGACACCTGGCAGGTCTTTGTGCGATAATTTATTAATAGTTGTTGGATAAGGCTGAGAATGTGATATGAAGAATTATGCAGATCGAAGAAAGTGTCATCGGCGTCGAAGATTAACACCCTCCTTTAAATCTGCATAATACTTCATATCTTTTTTTTACTCCTATCATACCTTTATATCATTTGATCCTTTTTTCAAAATATGTTCCATCTGATCTATGTATAGACTTGCTCAAAAATTGACTTTTTGACCGACAAAGTCGAGAGAACCCTACCAAAACGAACATGATATTAACCCAATCTCTATAAATCATATACCAAGTTGGCATCGCGGCCTACAGGGGAATAAAACAAAAGAACTCCTCTTGAGGCTCAGCAATGAATAACACAATTGTTGTTTTTGTTGTTGTTTTATCCCCTTCAAGACTCGAAGCCAAGTACGAATTCCAATATTTCGAAATTGATCCATTGAAAAAGCCTACCACCTATGTAAAGTTCCCGTCTTCAGAACATTTCCCTATTCTCATTCGTATAAAAGCCGCCGCGTGACGATTTAATCAACTAGATTACTGCGTGCTCCCTCGGGAAGCAGTCTATTGGTCCTTTACGGTCCCCAGGGAAATTCCCTAGGCCTTTTATACGCCCTAGCAAACAAATTCACCGTCTTCTCGCAAGTCTACTCTACAACGGGCAAGCAAGTTTCCCCACCCTCCTCCCCTTCAGCGGCGCTAGCAAATTTTCTCTATCAGCCCACCTTATGCCTTATGCAAAATTTTTCACCCATAACTTATCTATCAAAAGGCATAAGGTGGCTTTTATGCGAATGTAAATTAGTTACTATTTTTAGGGTTTTTCATTCTTGCCGAGATATTGTTCAATAACAGTTGTATCCGGCGAAAGGTATTTTTGTGTATGTGTATTTTTGAGGCAGTGGTTCAGTTATTTCTCAGGCATAGCATGAGAAATCTTTCGCCATTTTCTCCAGCTGTGCTCTGCCAAAATAGCTAAGCTACCGCGCCACCGTCTGTTCCTCTTTCTATCGACAATCGGCAAACAACTTCCAAATGTTAATCAGAAACTGGGAAATGTTTTGAATGCCGAATACAAATGATAACAATCCTGTCTAGCTTTTGGTTTTAACCATCACTTGTAAATTTCTCTAGGTAATTAGTGATGGAAGTTGTTGCCTCACATGTCAGGAGGAAACTTAGCTATGTAAACACTAATACTACCAGAGCAGGGTGCCCGAGCTAGAAATATAAACGCGCCTAAATTTTTTGCCATTGAACCAGTCGCTTTTTTTAATTTATTTATTAAACATCAACATAACATTACAATAAACTTTACAATACCAGGGCGGCAAAAAAAGGATGCAAAACAGTAAAAAAAAACAAAAAACAAAACAAAACAAACAAACAAGCAAAAAAACGAAATACGAAAGTTCAGCAGATTAACAACAACTAGCAGAACAAATAGAAAAATAATAACAGTGCGCGTTTGCTAAATTACTATAAGTCAACACTAATCAGACATGCACAGGGTGGTCCACTTATTTCTGTATTTGTTAAGATTTCCGTTTGTTCTTGCAATTTCTCTTTCGCACTTGATTTTAATTTCCAGGAGAACAATGAATACCTCCAGTTCTGGGGTCTCAAACTTGTTTCTAGCTAAGTAAACGTAATATCTAGCAATTAAGAGATAATGGTTAAAAACCAGTCGCTTTTACTCGAACACCAAGTGTAGCTTTGTTTTTGAAAGGCATGTTAACACTAATCCAGGATTAGAATTTTTTCGTTAAGAGCTCAGCTCGTTAAAAGGTGGATAACTATCTACTAAACCTCTATGACTGGGATAACGCCAGTGGCTTCCCTAATCGACATTTTTCCGCCGGATAGTGAATTATCCGCTGGATAGTGCTATCCTGAGTATGAACAACCGGAGCCAGGTTTGAAGTTTGAACCCGTTCCTATGGATTGTTTAAAGTATTATTTACGTTATCATAAATGGATGTCGGGGTGAAAATTCGTCAATATTTCATAACCTTCAGTTACATTTTTTTGGTAAGAAAACTTCGCTTGAAAGTTGCCCAAGCACTGGGTTTAATGTGACCATTTTTGATCGAGGAATCGGAAAAAAGAGTTGTCCGAGTCTGGTTCTAGGGCGTAAAAAGGAGACTGATCATGGAATTCAATTTGGCATCCAGCAAAAAAACTCAAGGTGCCCGCTATTTGTCGCGCGCCATCTTTTTTGCGTTGAAAAAAAGGTAGACAATAGAGGCTATGTTCAGTATCAGTATCAGTCTTCCTTCACTTACTGACAAGCATTATGACTTGGCAGAAAAAGAACGTAATTGTCATTCGAGGCACTTTGATCGTAATTCAGGTAGTATATTTATAGCTGGAAAGCTTAGAGACGCGCACAAAAGCACAACGTTTGTCAATTATTTAAGTTAACTGCTGAATTAAAGTTTCATTATCGACTACAATACGAAGAATCTAAACCATTACCAGCATATTTGTACCATGAATGGAGTTTACACGCATTGATATTCAAATGTATGTTTTACTTTATTTTAAAATGTGAAAAAGGGTTCTTCTCTAGTCATGAATATAACATTAAAATGTAATCCTTAGTTGTTGTCGCAAATATGATTAGACTGGCATCTCGGCAAAGGGCCAATCTGACACCGGCATTAGAAGCCATGGCCTAACAAAGTTTAGTGCGTCAATCTTTCAAAATTTAAACAACATATTTTAAGTATTTTGTTTTGAACGGGTCATACTTAACGTTGTTACTTTTTCGATCTTATTCGACCACACAGCGTGAACTAATGACTTCGTCGTCCTTGTAAGAATTGTATTAAAAGAGAAACCGTTACAATTTAATCCTCCAAACAAGCCTGCCGAATAAATACCTGTTAAAAATAAATCCACCTGGTTATCAGGTGCTTGTTGTTTATTTGAATTCGGTTGGTAATGTCCGGTTGGTAATGACGTCGTTCAAAAGCCCGAACATCGGCCAACAAAGTGGTTTCTACTAAACGCTAGAACGACAAGCGCTTGCAAAGAGGCTTGAAAGCGCAATTATGACAAACTGAAGGTGTCTTCCAAGACCTTTGGTATTGATCGTACGTGACAAATGGGAAGGAAGCAATAGTGGGCGAATTGGCGATTAATCATCTTGAAGGGCGCCAAGAGGTGCAGCTGAGGAAAGCAGACGGCCGTGCCAGGGGAAAATAGAGCAAGCCAACCCTCTGGTGCTCCTACCACCCCCAGTTAAACTAGCTGTCAAAGGGGTCTTTCGGGCAAAAAGAATTGTTATTCAGTCGTATACGTAACAACAAAGTTCTTAGCCCGTGGACAATTATATTAGATGGTCCTCGACGTATAGACTTAATAAGGTGTCCAAAAGAAACAACTTTCCTCCTAATTCTCTTACGAAACACGTTTGGAACGGAGGTGTAAAACTGTGACGTCGAATACTGTATATTTGCGTACAAGCTATAATGATCACAACCTCGGATGTATTCGCACCATGACTGTCAAATATTCAAAAAAGGATTGGGTTGTTGAAGACAGTTTTTGTTGCAACTCAGCTATAAAGAGTGTTACATTTTTTTTAGCATAATTTTTTTGGTTAAGGATTATTAGTTTTTTGGCCACTGTCTAATATGACAAAAGAGGGTTGGGTTTTAGGAAATGCTGCCAAAACCTCAAAGAACATTGCACCAGACTAACAAATATTCCGCCTGACTGACATGAAATAACATGAGATGGAGAGTTGTTTTTTCCTCTGAAGGCATGTTCTTTACTAGGGTGCTGAGGGGCAAGTTTCTTTGGGAAGCGCTTATCAAGGAAAACAATGGGTTTTCAGCCTTTTTTGCTTGTTCACGATTGCTTGCATGAAAGAAAAATCTGATCAGTTCGGTAATTTGGGGCTTTTTGTCAAAGTTCCACTGAAGTGAATAACTGAAGGTTTATCGATTTAGAGATGAAATTTTTGTGGCAAACAATGTAAATGCCGGCATGTTGTAGAGGGACTAGGAAGGTCGTTTTAGTATACCGGAGCATGATATGAAGGAATAAAACTGACAATAGTTGGTTACTTTATAGAACTCCTTTAAGCGTTTCTACTGACGCTCTTTTACCGAAAACTATAACAGGTCTTGCCTTTACAAATGGAAACTGAACGGAGTGGGGGAAATTTATAAAAACTCTCAAGGAAAGGCTTTTTCTGGGAACACTTGCTGGCAACGGGAAGACACGGGATTTATTGCGGCTGTTGATTATCCCTGAGTCAGTAATTGTTAAGACAGAACTCGACTCAAACGTAGACGTTTAATCGAAGATCTTACCACGACTATAATCAAAAAACAACCCGATATATACGATGCAACTTATATTTAACCGAAGAAGCTCATACAAAACACTCGTATTTAAGCATAAGCTACGGCTAACGGTCAACCTTGCTGAGAGTCCTTTAACTACTCTCAATTACACTACTTCCATTAAGTTTTTGTTCTTCCTCTTCGCCTTTCCCCCCCTGGAAAAGAGACGAAGAGGAAGGAGTAGTCCAATGGAATCGCTTTGAGGTGGCAAATAACCCTTGCCTATAAATTTAACCAAATGCACCGTTTTATGAACAGCTTTGAAACCCTGCTCTCCTTGCCATGCAGTAAGAGTCGCGCTGAACTACGTCATAACACAACTCGTCTTTGCACGTCAAGTGACATAGTAATCGGGTCATTGGTGTTGCTCCATATTTAGGAAGAGTGTAATAATCGACACTATGGTTGGTTTTTGGCGCGCAATTCTTGGCGTCATGTTCTACGTCGTAGAAATCATCGCAGATCAGCCTCCCAACGCTGTCTGTCAAGACACCGGTAGAGAGGAGTTTGGATGGGCTTTAATTGGGCATGACTACAAAAGCTCGACGGCTGAAAATTTCGGTCAATGTTTCTTTGACTGTACCTTAGATGAACAATGTCAGAGTGCTACGTTTCTCTGGAACACTAAGGAATGCAAACTAAAGAAAGAGACAAAGAAGTCAAGGCCAATGGATAAGGAGGAAAATCCAGCTGCTACTTACATGGAGAATCCTTTCCGAGGTATTTTAAGACACTTAAGATTTTCCGAAAGCAAGCCAATAGGCGTACTTCTAAAGGCTCTAGGTGAGGTTTACTATTTAGCGTTTACTTTAGCAATTTTTTTTTACAAAAATATGACCTAAAATGTTTATATATACTGTTATCAAAAGTATTGCCCTTTTATTGTTAGGTTAACTTTCAAAGACCATACTGGAATCTTAGGGTCGGCACATTCATTCTCTCTTGTATGAGACCAAGACCATCTTTGCCAGCCCACGATGATGTGTTAACATGTGTTATGGGATTGCGAAGCCGCTGGACAAAACGACACAATTAGCATGCGTTCTCCTTCGTCGAACGCAACAATGACGTCAGAAATTTCTTTTATAATTTTACAATAAACAGTTTTGGACAACTTGATTACTTTTGCCATTGAGCCCAAAGAATTCAAAGTAAAAAATCCAAACAAATAAAACTAGAAAGGAAAACTGAAAAATCGATACCAACTCCTCCGGAACAGGTTCTACGGTTTAACAGTCAGTGTTAAATTATCTTTTACTGTTTTATTGTAGCTAAAAAAGGCTCAAAAGCCTCGATTCCAGGCTCGTCCTGTAAAGACATTTCAACAAGCGGTGACGCTCAGGGAAAATGGTGGATACTGGATTGACCCCACTGACTCAGGAAATCCTTTCCCCGTTTATTGTGACATGAATACTGACAGAGGTAACGTTTTGTATTCTCGAGAAATTCAAAACGGAATACACCGATTGCAAATATGGCGATGATTTTACCAAAGCGAGGCTTTTCGGTGGCAACCGTTGCTAGGGGCTGGTTGCCTGTGTTTACCTGTGCCGTTGCTAGAAAGCCTGCAGCTTCTCAGGCGTCTTTTCCCCTAAATTCGGCAAAAATAAGTCAGTTTTCTTCCCTGAAAGAGGTTTCAATCTGGCATGTACGCTTTGAATACTGTTTGTCTATGCTAAATTGAACGATCAACTGACACACAGCGATCACAGACAGAGTCATTTGTAGCGATCGCGACACTTTGACTGCCTGATATTTTTCATTCATTGTATTTAAGGTTGACTTGAAGGCTTAAATGTTATCATTCCAAAAGCTGATCTTTTAGAATTGGATTGTATACCATTTTTGCTGTATATATATAAATAGTGAAACATGCCGGATAGTTGGTGCGTGCCTTTGTGCTGCAAGAGTGGTTATCGTGTAGGGCCGGATGGGAAAAAGATCACGTATCATTGCCTCCCAACAGATGCTGTAAGACTGAAGGTACTACTTTCAAAATTCTCGTTCATTAAGCCTATCGTTTCAGATTTCTGATATTTCTCGATACGACTTATATTTAAGGAGTGACTTGTGAAAATTAACGAGACGTATCTCCAGCATTTCAGATAACTAAACAAACTTAAATCTGCTTCTTGCATTTCAAGATAAGTGAGTTTCGTGTATCCTTAACCGCTTGACGATATTTAAAAGATGATGCTGTTTCCTCTATCTTTTCATGGTCGGTAGCATCCCTTAAGCGATAATCACACCACGTAAGAGGACACCGAGCCATTCTATAGCTCATGATCAGAAGCCATCCCGCAGTAGTAAAAATGAACGCAACTCGGAAAGTGATGTGGATCAAATTAGCGAGTTGCGTACACACGTTGCTGAACTTCAATAAGAAAAGAACATGCTCCAACTTCACAATAACTTCTGCACAAAAAAATCATTAAGGGTCGCTGATTTTAAACTTGGAATCACTTAGACAGAAAAAATAATGAGACAAAAATCAAAGGTACATTAAAGTTTTCTAGTGTATTTAATCATAGAAAACAGAGGGTTGCTCACTTTGCAACAGGTTGGGCCCTTCACTGTTAATATTTCAGGCTCACTTTCTTCCTTAAAAGAATTTCCTTTAATTCCTTCACATGCATCTTTTCCACAGCCTATCCATTATGAACTGCATAATACTGTTCGGTAAAAAAGAACAAACAGTGAAAGTCTAAGATAATTTCAAGAAGTTCAAGGTCAAAGTCGGTAATGTAATATCAATTCACACATAAGTTCATCGCTATCGTGATTTTTGCTATCATCTACGTTCAGATTTGTATAATGTAGGCAAAGTAAAAAGCAATGACCTTTATTTTATCTCAAGAAACTGACAGTGACTTCTTGAAAGTTTTCTATTGTTTCCAGAGCGAAAAAAACAACATGATAACGGACTCGCATTAGCATATAAACAAGCGACCAGCCCTTAGCAACGGTTGCTACCGAAAAGCCTCGCTTTGATGAAATCGTTGCCATGTTTGTAATCGGTCTTTAAAAGCCAGTCTTTTAAAGATTAACATTAAGATAACGCGTTTGCCACGATGACTTTACACTTTAAACAGTGCGCTTTCTGGCGGTTTAAATGACAAAGGAAACTGACTATATGTAGAAAGGAAATTTCACTGAACCGCACCTGTGCAATTCAGCAATTTTTTCCCCATGAAATACCCGATAAGTTCGCAGAATCATATAATCTTTGTCATATTTGTTAATCACCTCAAAATTGTTTTTCTAGCTGATTTCCTCTTGTCTTTTTATCTTAATTGTATCCTGATGGTATTAAACAAGTCACGTGACTGCAAGCTGCAAAGGGCCTATTAATTTATTAGCACATAGTAAAATTATAGCTGAGCAGTTCTGATAGTACATATATCTTATTGGACAGTTTAGTGTTTAGTATCGTGGGATATTTTACGAGTCAGGCAGTCTCCCCACCGCGTCTCGCCTTTCTAGCGTGGGGTGATTTTCACCCGCGCTCGCGTTTCACTCACTCTACTTTCCCTGATAAAAAATGGGGGACTACTCGTAGTCTACCCACGTAGCGTCTAGTGAGCTAAAAAGCTCGTTCAAAATACGTACGTGCTAAACACTAAACCGTCCAATAAGGATTCATTATTCAACTTGAGGAGAATGTAGAACTTAGTATATTCTCCTGGAAATATTTGAAATAAAGTGAAACATTTGGACTTGTTTTGAGTGTTATTTGTACTCTGCTGAGTGAAGTTGAATGATAAAGTGTATTGTTATATTCCTAGACTTTCACTCAGCTAAACAGGGAATGCCATTGGTTGATGCTTGGTCACGTGGCCTCGACTAAAATCAAATGTATCCCGATGGTGATATATTAAGTAATGTACCCCGCTTGGGGTACATTACAGGACGTGATCAAAGCATGGTGGAAAGTGCAGTGACAGAAGGCGGGAAAAACACCGCCAGTTTTCTTTTTCGTGAATGAACACAACAACACAACCAGGAAGTCTCAAGCTAAAAACCATTTTCAAAGTTATTCCGGAAGAGAAACAGCGGGTAGTGCAGGAAAAAGATGCAGATAATATAAGGAAAGTACTTTGCAAATCATTCATTCAGTGGTTTTGAGAATGAAATTTGTGTTCTTATAAGTGCCGAGTCGACTGTTTTGGTTCGCTCCGGTTATTCTTTTGTTGCTGTTGAAGTGAAAGTCCAGAAATATAACAAAACACTTAATGCCAGGTCCCTCAGGAAACCAGTTAGTTTTGTTTTCCCTCGAGTCCTTATGTTTCCGGAAAACAAAACTAACTGTTTCCCTCGGGATCTGACATTAAGTGTCTAATATTCCTAGGTGATAGTACTAGTATCAGCCAGAGTATTAGAAGTTTTTAGTAACTTCTTCCTGTTACCCATTGTTTCAGGTGGATGGCTTCTAATCTCTCGCTTTATTATGGAATCGTTAAATTCATCAAACGATAGCTCAACCGAGTCGGATTCTTATAGGACAATTCTTTCAGCATACACTTCTAACAACCAATACCTGCTGAGAAGTGGCTTCAATCAGTTGAAACAAGATATGGGCTTCACGCAGATCCGTTTCTATTGCTTCAAAAACGCAACAGGCCGAGCATTTCACATCATGACTAACGAAGATACCAATGGGACAAACGTGGTGAATTTTTTTACCACTTCTGATAACATTCCCGTAGCTTGTGGATCCTTTACACGCCTTCCAGATGACAACTCATCTCTCGCCGTCAACTGCGACAAGTGGGGTCAACCGACTAAAAATCGGTGGGGACATGCATCGAAGTTAACAAATGATCGCCTTTTTGTCAGGCCCTTAACATGGTCATCTACTCGGTTTTATCGCCTAAAAGGCGGTTCAAGATATCAGTGTGACGACAAAACGTTTCCCCTATCAGTTGGTGACATTTGGCAGGTCTTTGTGCGATAATTTTTATTGGACAAGCACGATATGAAGAATTATACAGATCGGCCACATGACACTCTCTGAGATCTCCATAATTGGTCACAGCATACGAGAGCACTGGGTCCATTAATTGTTATATTCTTTATTCAAAATATTTTCAAAAGATGGTTATCTCAATCTATGTTAAGGTAGCTGAACACAGCTTTTGTAGGAAGATGCTTTATCCCTTTGCTGTTAACGTCTTTACCATGAGGAGGATAAGCAACCGGGAGAAAAACGCCTAGAAATTATCAGTAGAAATTTATTCTGTTTTCGTCACCTTTGACATATCACGTGATCTCAGCACGTGCTTAAGTATTGAGCATGCGTACTTTAATAGGGAACAATATGAGGGCGCTTTATAGAGTTTTGTTGACTTACATAGGCATGCAAACGTTAAACTATAAAAAAATCTAGTCATATCACACTTCAGTCGTCAACGAAAGCCTCGAAATAAAAGTTGAAACAAGCAATCTATGTGACATAATTAAGTTTCTTGTATTTTTTTTATCATTTTTTTTAACTGAAGGTTACTAATTGTAAGCTGTGTGCAAATTCATAACGAAATCTAATGACTAGATTTTGCATAAACCTACTAAATTTAACATTTGGGGTTTGTTTTAAATCATCCATGTCGCCATAGCAACGATCGAAATCGCCTTATACCTGCAACGAGTTTTAGATAACACCCCTTTGTCTGGTAACGATTTACACCAACTTTTAAAATTAAAACAGTAAACTGATCCTTACGGCAGGAAGAGTGGTAGAAAAAATAGAGAAAGAAAACAATAATAAAATGGTGAACTATATTTGCCTGATACTCGGCTTTGCAACACATGTCTTTAACGAGAGCTAAAAAAGAAAAATGAATACGTATACAAGATGAACGTTACATATGCGAGATTTGAATACATACCAGACAGAAAATGATAGGCTAGTAAAAAAGATCGCTGTCACTTATTGAGTTCATCATGTCTACTTATACCACGGTGTTCTAATGTCATTTCTTTGTCGACGAGGTGAGCCTCGCGTGCTTTTCTGACAGAGTCACGGTTGCTATGGCCACGTTTCTAATTCTATTCTTGTTTCTGAACATTTTAATCAAGACCAGTCACCATCAACGACGTCCTTCTTGAATTGCTCCCTTAGAACTAACCCATTTACTTTATTATGGGTAATTTATATAGCATCATCTTATGAATAACAGCTGTAGAGCTTAGTAGCGGTCTGGATTTTTCATTAGGGAGCTTAAGCAACGACCACGACGACAACGACCGGTGACAAAGTCAAAAAACAATTGGTTTTATGAGCAAAACGACAGCTCTGCACGTGCATCACGCTTTTTAGAACATTTCTTTGACGTCCACTGGACCACTACGACGTGAAACCTCCCAATGCGACATTTTATGGAGGACGTGAACATACAACGACAAATTTTCCTTTTTCTGTTTGAACATGGATAAAGCCCTTAAGAATTCAACTCCCGGAAAAGTCGCCTACATATGACGAATTGAGCGGTTCCAAATAGACGCGATAAAGTTTAGCCTCCCACGCAGGCGTTTTTAGGGGAGCTCGTTTTTCATCCCTCCCCACAGTTTGTGGGGAGGGTTGAAAAACAAGCTCCCCTAAAAACGCCGCGTGGGAGGCTAGATAAAGTTTGAAAGGACGCAAATTTATTTTCATAGTGATATTTTGACTGCTGTCGTCGTTGTTGTTGCTTAAGCTCCCTATTGTTATAAAAAGTAACGCTGTTGTTCTGCGGTGTCTTTTTACCGAGCTTGACTTTTTTATTTATTCAAGATAAACAATTTAGTTAAAATGCACCATTTTTAGCGAACTAGTTAAAAAGTTCTAAACGGTCGTAATGTAAATATTACATTAAAATGTAATATTCAATTGCTGTTGCTAAAATGAATAGAATGGCACCTCTGCAAAAGGCCAATATGACACCGATCGCTACTGACACCACCTAGTATAGGCACCAGAGGTTTTCCTTCCAATATTCACCTCAATGTACGTTTAAGTCTAGGCAAAATCTGTAAGAGCGTTAACGAGATATTTTCGGATGACCTTTAATTTTATGGTTTAAAATACATAAAAACCGGACTATCTTGATGTTCTGCTGTTGTCTGAAGAAAACGAGACCCTTTTGAATTGCAACTTGACCTCATATCATAATAGTTTGAATCTTTTTAAAAATGTGTGTGAAGGATCATGAAGATTGCTTTAGCCGATTGCCAGAAAGAAGGATTTAGTTATTACGTGTCGAGGCGCTCTTGATAGCGGTTTAGTTAACATTTTGGTCTGCTTAAATAAATAAGCGAAAAGTTTAGAAACCGCTAGATAGATTTATTTTGAATTTGAGATATCGTTTTATAAGGTCTTTAACCTGAGTTTCAACATTATTGATAACTTGTAAGGCAGTAAAATAAAGGCTACAGTTCTCTAAGTTCTTCGTCGGAAATTTCATGTTTATTAGTGGGAACCTCTCATTATTCAGGGGTCAAAATGACGACTTTTATGTTATTGTAACCCTGATCAAAACAAATTTTCATCTTTTTTAATACAGCTGTGTTGGTAATTTTTCCAAATCTTTGTTAATAGCGACGTTTTTTATGCTCAAACTTGGCTGAGGTATTGAACCTGAGAACCCCAAGCCACCTTATAAATTAAGGGGTGCTTTGTTATTAAATACGGCACTCATTATGATTCAAATGGATTTAAAGTACAGAAAATCAGCGGAAGAACATTATAGAGGTCAAATAAATAGGCAGCTTGAAATCTTAACGGTGCAAAATTGATTAAGCGAAGCGCACGATTTTGAAAGATCAAAATCTCGTTTTAATAAATTTAGATTAAGCAGCTTTTCCCCAAACCGCGTGGTCTTAGGTTATATATAAGGTTGGATCAGAGATCATTAAATATCTAACAAGGAGCAGGAAGGAACAAAGTTCTTTAACCTCACAAGGTTTTCGAGTGATTCGCTCATTTTTGTTGCGATGTATTGAATATGATATTTCCCCCAAAGTTTGATTTACTTACTTTTAAGAAAAAATGTTTCGTTTTCCTGATGAATTTTGAATATCATTATTGTCATTAGTGGACCTAGGACAGACCTTTGAGGGACACCCCAAATTGTTTTGTCTTTTTGGAATGCAAGACCCAGTGTACTTTGGTATACATTAGTCACGCAGATAGGATGAAAAACAGTTATGACTTCACTTCTTATAACAAAATGTTCAACCTTTTCCATTAAGATTGAATGATCAACTGTGTCAAATACCTTCTTTACGTCGTAGTTAATAGAGTGGAATGGCTATGAAACCCGTCAGACTCCTCAGTTATATGTTTTTGAGGACCTGAAGGTGCACAACGTTCAATAGCATTTCTAACTTTTTTATCTTAGTGACCGACAGAACGTCCCACTGATCTTAATTCGGCGTCACAATTTGGCAACAGAAAACTGATGATTGTGCATTCTCGGGGAGCTCCCGACATAAACGCAGGAGCATTTTTTTTAATCTTTGATGTTTGCCGCCTTTCGTAACCATTCTCCTCTAATAACTTTGTTTATATTGATAAAGATACAACAAAAATAAATTTTGTCAATCGGTGGTACGTTGTATTATATTAACAATGTGAAAGAGTGCATTTTTTGTTTGGAGGAACGTTCACGAAATCCACATCTCGGAAATTGATATAATACATTGTGTTTATCAAGAAAAGATTTAAGACGGCTGTAAATTAAATAAGGTTTCTTAAATGTATGGTTAAAGGAAAAATGGAATGCGATTGATGTATAAATATTTGGTTTAAATTCATCCTCCCACTTGAAGATTGTTATAATCTTCGTATGTTTATAATTGCAGCAAGAGGTTTCCAAAGAAGGGTACAACGAGATTTTAGAATTCGTGCGGGCGCAGGAATACAACTTCAGGGTTTTTTTAAAATAAGAGCGTAAATGTGATAACATTTTTTTGGTTGAATCGAGAGAGTAGCACAATAATAGCGGAGCTCTCGCGCGCGAAGCACGCGCAGCGGAACACCATGGGTAAGAAAATGTGGTAAACTACCCATCCGAGAAAATTTGGTAATCACGTGACCGCACACCGACTGTCCGTCCGCATCACAGGCATACCAAAAAGTAAAATAACTCAATCAACAGGTATGGCAACCCAAACGCAACTCGAGGTTATTTTGACGGGAAATTGCATAGCCACCCCGCATGTTGTAAAGCAGAGACAACCAAAGAGTCAATGAAGACGAAAACGGAAAGCGGAAATTGTCTCTGTAATAATAATAATAATAATTTATGAAATTATTGTGCGCAGCTTAACACGAGAATGATCAGCTGCGCATTACAACTGCATTACTTTACCAGAAACAAATAAAGATAATGCATTTAAAAATGAAAAAATAAATAAATTAAATTAATAAATTGATAATAAAAATAAAAATAAAAATAAAATAAAAATATAATAAATAAAATAAGATAAAAATAAAAAATAAAAATAAATAAATAATAAAAATATATATGCATGCAAGTAAGAACTGAATATAAAATTGCTCACGAATAAAAAGTTCTAAAAAGATAAGTCTTAATATGCGCCCTAAAACTGTTCACATTAGTAATCGCACGAAGTTCTTTTGGAAGAGAGTTCCAGAGCCTTGGCGCTGCTACCATAAAAGCTCTATCACCTAACGTCTTCGATCGAACAGCTGGCATAGAAAGTAAAATACTAAGGTTATATAAGGACGATTTAAATGTTAGTAAATCGTATAGCCTATACGATATTTAGGAGCAAGGCCGTGAATTGCTTTGAACGTAATAAGCAGTATCTTAAATTGTATCCGGGCTTTAACAGGAAGCCAATGCAGACCACGAAGAATGGGTGAGATGTGGCAAAACCTAGGGGCATTACAAACTAGCCTGGCTGAGGCATTCAAAACAAACTCTCTGCAATTTGTTAAGCTGGTAGTTGGGC